CAACATTTCCAGACAAAAGTGAACTTGACTTTCATAACTTAAGTTATGACATTAAAACTTGTCAGTTTGTCTGTCGATTTCAAGTTGCCAGCAAGAACTGTTCTGCCGTAAACACTTTTAAATGAACGTCTTCTGCTTAATCTTAAACGAAAGTAAGTGTTGACCTCGACTGTTATCCTGCACTATGCAGGTATTTGTTTACTTCTAAAGTTCTAAACAAATACATAAACTGTCTAGTTGGCGTCAAAATCCACTTAGTCAGATAAAGTTGTTTACCGCAACTTATTGGAAACCCTTTTTTAATGCTAATTGATTCTTTTATTGATTAATTGCTTGTTGTTAAAAACATAGCTGGTAAGGTTGATAGGAAGTGGAAGCCTGTATGTTATGGTTACATTGTTGTTGGACAGTCGAGCGTAAATAGTTTTATTGTGCGTTGGCTTGATTTATATTGGCAGCGTTTTTTTTTTCATGTGCATATTTATTGATCTGTTTCTAGTAATGTTTTTGCGTTTTTGCTAATTTTTTAAACAGCAATGCAGAATCTGTTCAAGCTTAGACAATCTACTAACTAAGATAACACATCGATAAAGTATGTTGAATAGACTTATATAAATGTTGCCAGTTGTGGGATATCGACTTTGAAATTGTATGCTTAAACAGTGCCCTTCGTAGTTTACTGTTTCTTTTTTTGGCGGTAAGTGGACGAGTTTGACGCAAAAATCAGGTCTTTTAGCTAATATTACACGATATTTCATAATGATGAAATATTATAAATGTTGAGGTAGTGTTTTTAAAGATCTATTCAATAGTTTTTTCAGTTTCTAAAGTTGTTTCTTTTGCTCGACTTATTTGACGCCGAATAGAATGGAGTGAAACTATGAGTCTACATTTTCTTGGTTCAAGGATGTAAATTAGGACAAATGGGTAAATCGTATACGATCAGGTATATTTCGTATACGATTCTAATACGAACGGAGACAGATACTTTTGTGAAATTAGCCGGATTCGTGCATACTAAAATGCAGATTTTTCACAAATTGCTATTCAGAATTAAGCCCGAAAACAGATGCTAATTTTGCTGAGAATTTGGAAAACAAACTTTTACGGCTGAATTTCGATTCAAGATTCCAACCTTGAACCTCCGCTGTAGCTCGTAAACTTGCAACAGTTCTTCTATAAGGCATTTTAAGCTAGTTTTTTGGTCATATTTCATGAGCCACCGGCCGCATACGTTTCTTATACACTCTGAAGTTTGCTGCTATCACAGATCATGATAAATACACTCGCAATTAAATTAAATAGAAAACTGATCAAAACAGCTGTACAGCGTAAGTATATCATGAAGTATTTAAAAATGTTTTGCTTTAAAATCGAGAAGAATTGCATTGAAACAAATTGATGTCAGGTGCCGTTGATTGAATGGCCACTATAGGTGTATTTACAATGACCTCATGCTGAGTTAGTTAGACGAAGCGTGCGTAGTACCGCATACAGAGAAAAGACTTAATCAAGAATATGAGACTGTTCTGGAATAAATTATTAATTTATTTGAAGGGTGTCTCGGTTTTGTTGTGCATCATTCTAGGGTGTGGCTCTTAAGTCATTGCGACCTAAGAACAGTTTGTAGGAAAAACATTTTTTGGGTAGACCCAACATGAGACTTACGATCGTGATTTAAATTTTGCTTTTAATAATGCACTTTTTGGAAGTTTTTGTCCTACAGTTTTATATTTTTGGATTACTTTGTCAAATTGAATTCATTTTTACTCCCTCAATTGCGGAACATTTCATCATCCACATCATGAATTCTGTTCAAAATGTTCAAAGCTAAATTTTAAAGGTATTGTTTAAATATCATCGAGTTACCAACACAGACTTTATATTAAGAACTACATTCCAAAACTTTGCTTAATTAGCAACTGACAGTTTAAACTTGTGCACAAAATTCTATGTAAAACACACAAATGTATTATAAGTATTGTAAAATTCATAATCATAAGACATAGAAAGTTAGATGGTGTTTATTATAAAAGAAATTTAATAAAATTTTGGAATTTTTCTGAGATCCGCTAAACGCTGTTAATATGCATTGTTTGGGAAATTATTGTTAATCATGTTAGTTTCTGAAGTTATTTAAAAGGAATGTTTTCAAAAACTTGTAATATAATTATGAGACCATTGATGACAATGTAGTAGTCGCGTCCGCATGAAATATTTTCCTCAATTTGTTCCAACAGTTTTAACAAGTGGAATTTGCAGTAAATTTTAAAAACCTTACGTACTTTGAAGTGCTTCTATTTGGTTTTCTTATTTTAAAATGCGCTAGTTGCGAACGTTCTCAAGCAAACAGGTGTTTACAATATCAAGTGCCAACTGTTATTAGAAATGCACTGTTTGCACCCATAGCCATAATTCTCCTTTTGTTTTTCGTGCACTTTGTTCAACAGTTTTATTCTCATTCATTCCCAAGTGAGTATGCACGCTTTATCAATTTATGGCCGAAAACGTGCATATATTACACATATTATCATTGCTCTGTAAATGTAATCTAAGTTTATCTCATGACTTAAGGAAATTGCGTTTCCATATGAGTAAGCGGTATGTGTAATGTGGATTGGAATATTCCTATTCTGACTTTGTTTTCAATTATTCCGCTACTTTTAATGTTGCGACATGTTTCATAATTTCTACCGTATTTCATACATTTGTTCAACATCCAAATCAAATGCATTTTTTTTTATTTTGATGACGTTAAAGATAATAAATAAAATAATTCACCAAAGAAAAAGTAATTAAAAACTTTTTCAAATTTGTTTGATATCGTAATAATCAGAGCAACAAGAATTTTATCTGCTTTTATCTCTTTGGCTTTGGAGATATTTAAATAGTAAGTAACACTGCTGGTTTATAATTAGCAATATTTTCATTAAAATCGTTTCAGTTTGTTCAAGATTCTAACACGATTATGTGCAAGCAATTCATCCGAAAGAAAACAATTTTGTTTATGTGTCTCATAAACTGAATTTCATCACGTCTACTAATGCGCATTGCGTTTGATAAATTCCTGAAATATTCGCTTTTATGAAATGTTTGCTTCATGCCAATGGTAGCTGATAAATCATGTCGAATGACAGTGCTTTCCAATAGATGTATATATGTATTTAAATTGTTGCAATCATGCAAAAAACGGAGGTATTTTTGTTCTTATAATCTTGGTTTTTATTTAATTTTTTTAAATGTTTGTTTATTGCAAATTCAGTCTAAAAGCCTTTTCTTATTTATTATTTCTTGTTTTAATTTAGTATATATGTACCAATATAATAGTATAACAAAATAATGATTTTGTCAATATGTAGGTATATTGAGCCAAACTTTCTTAACGAAAAACTTTCGTTTTACTTCATTGTGTTCACATCAGACGCGATTTGTGAAATGATCTTAATTTCTTATATTTTTATTTATATTAAATATTGACACACATTGGCTCTAGGTGAGAAATACAATAAACATCCTACTAATAATTTTAAATTAATTTACACTCTACTGGCAAATGAAATAATGCTAATTCAAAATTAGCAGTTAGGGTCAATATGACAATTACTCTTATTCTTGTTTCAAACAACAACAGATACGTATAAATACGGATTCCATCAAAGCTTTAGGTAAGTGAAAAATACCGAAAAATATCCAGTTACCATATTTTAAAATGCAAGCCCGTATTGATATTATCAATTATCGGAAAACCGCTTTTACCTGCTTGAACATTTCTTATTTATCAGACCGGCTATGTTTATTATTTTTCCTCATTAACAACAACACGATAAGCAAGTGTGCAGACGGTTTGCTAGTGAAGTAGACCAATACCGTTCCTTCAAACAATCTTTAAGATTTACATCTTCACCTTGGTGTTTGTGGTTTGTTACAATGTACATACTGTTTCGTATAATAAGGTTTATGTATTATAAAAGGCATTTTCACTACCTTACATTCGTTTAATAGGATCAAAATTTGAATTACAAAAAGATAAAAGCTGCTACATTTAGGCAGCGGTAATGAACAATTTTCGGCATTTCCTCGCATCAGCTGAAACTAAAACCAAACATTTAGAGACGATCTGGCAAACTTTGCATTAAGTAAAGTTGTTTGCTCAAAATCTGGATGTCTGTTGTTTGAAAGGTAGGTAGTTAAACTTGGCTGCTTCCCCATGTATTTGCTTTTAAATTATACAGGTTAATGTTCCCTGAAATATTCTGGTTCAGATAGTGTTTCTTCAACACTAAAGGCATATTAAAGAAGCCAATCACATGTAGCATAAAATGCTCCTAAATTGTTCTGTTTTTATGTATATTGAAGATTGTCGAAGTTGATAAAGTTACGAAATTTATCGTCGTTGATTATAGAGGGAGTGCTGGGAAATGAGTTTTAAGAATTACTACCTTGTTGACTGTGAACGATGTAGGTGTGTCGATTGTCTAAAATTAATGTTTATTCATAGAATTTTATAGGATTTTTTTATTTCAAGAAGTCTTCTAACACATTTGGTGAAATTGGCTTGATTTTTTTATAAGAGGCGGCGTGTTTCAAAGTTCAGTCTAAGCAAAACGATTTTTTTAAAAGACGATTTTATTAAATAATGAGCGATGAAGAATGTGAAGTCCTCTTAGTGTAGTTGTTTCTGAGTTTAGTATTGAGCTACTCACTTCTATATTAAAATTTTGCCGATATATTTATTGTAAAAAATATTACAAATAAACTTTAATTCTATTTTTTTCGGTACAAAAATGGCAATATATTATACTTCTATTCTATCTTCCAGAATTACAGATTTCGGGGGCAATTCTGATTTGGATGATGGAAATAAGTCTCTGATTATCAGAGACTTATTTCGAGCGACTTCTTTGAGAGCGTTAAATCTGTTGAAATCTGAACTTTATGAAAATAGTAGTTGCTACTGTCTTCTACCTTATTTATAGTAATCAATTTTTTTCTATTTCAGGTAACTTGTAACAATGAACTCTGCACCATCGGTAGATACATGCATCGCGAATGTTTCGATCAATGGGAGCAAGCTGTCCTGTCCTATCTGAAAACCTGCGGACGCGCGCGTTCTTGGTCCGAACGGCAACGTCATCAGAATTTGTGGACAAAAAAAGGATACGATTTGGCTTATAAGGCCTGCGGATGCAAGTAAGTAACACTTAGTTTTAACGGGCCTTATCAGAAAATTTAGCACGGTTGGCATGGAAGATTTTTGATTTACACGGGTCAAATTTTAGATTAAATTTTGCTTTGTGTTGCGAATAGTTTAAAAGCTGCACAGGAAAGATTTTCTAATTTCAAGTCAGCTAGGACCAATAATGGGTAACTTAAAATTAATGATTTTAACTTTTTAATTAGATGCCAAAAAAATTTCAAGTTTTTTGTCGGTTCAACAACATTTTGAATCCCCATTAAGGTCTTGTTATTTATATCTTATGCTGCCCCTGTTTTATCGCCGCTAGATGTAGTAGATTAATAGCAGTTTAGGAAGTTCGGACGGGTTCAGGTCCGATCATTTTGTATTTCTACATTAAAAGGGTCTGAATTTTACTCGTTCTACCGGTAAATCCACCGAAACTCACTAGACCAGATTATAGACAAGTCTTTTTTTATTGGGCTAGGCTAGACTTTAGTGTCTGCATTAACATTATTTATTTGTTACAAAAACGCATTAAGCAAACACTAAGATTATGCAATATTTAAATCGTTATGCATATAATAAATTCGCCGAGCAATATTATATTATACATTTTCATATATTTCTGGTTTCTTTACATTTGCTATAAGTTTCTGCAACATGCAATAAATTTTTGCACCAAAAAGTTAAATCGCATCATCACTCTAATAGTTTAGTTTCAATTACTCTTCAATAGTTTTTTGGGTTTGTCAATATTATACTTTGATCAACTTTTCTTTTCAAAATATTGAAGAAATATTAAATGTTTATATCAAAGTTGGTATCGATATTCCTATTACTTAGAGGGAGATTTGATAGATTTTATTTTATCTTCGAATTTATTTATCATATTAAAAAATATTAGAAGTCTTGTAAATTTTTCACATGTTTTTTGAATAAATGCACGAACTCGAAAAATTATAAATATACAGATTTTCACAATCACAATGCTTGAACGGTAAATACATTTTGCATTTGTTGACTAAAAAAACTGACATTATTAAAAATTTCCAATTTTTTTCTTGTATTAATCGAAAGGAAGCAAGGATTTCAACGAGCCTTATACAACCAACAGACATGCTTCTCTTTTGGAAAC